CCCGACACGTCCCGAACGACCCGACAGGCCCCTCACGATCACGAACCTGACAAGGCAAAGCATCAGGCTGACTGATGATGATGATGAGTTTGGGTACCTGGTCGTTCCAGCGGAAGTCAGGAGTAATGAGGAGGCGCACGCGTAGCACGGTGCGTGTGATTGGCTGGATGCTGGCCTCCATGGTGAGGGCGGGGATCTGGTGGACGCACTGCTTGACGGTCAGTCCGATGTTGACATGGTGCAGCATGTGGCCTGGGAACACCAGCAGAGTCACACACCTGAGTTCCCTCATCCATCAGGATGTCTGACCTACCAGAGGGCGCCTCCGATCGAGCCCTTCACGCCACCTGACCAACCAGCACATTTACAATTAGCTCAGGAATAGAAATTGTTTTCTTTACCAATCTCATCCTTCCTCATCTCCTTCAGTTTGTCCACAGTCAGCCTCTTCTCCTCCAAGCGGTTGAGGACGCTGGTGCTCAGGGTGGGGAACTGGCGGAGCGGGTGGGCGAAGTCCCACAGCCGCTTGTCGATCACCTTGCAGAGTTTCAGCAGGCGGTAGGTCATGGCGGGCCAGCGCTTCCTCAGGGCGATCTCGAACAACGCCCGGACGATCCGAGCCGCGTTCTGTGGAATCAGGAGAAAAACCCGCTGAGTCGGCAGAGCTACACGCCGCTGTAGCAGCAGAGTGATGCTAACAGCTGGATCACAGGGCTGATGTGGAGCAGCTGGATGCTGGGTTAGCTTCAGACCTGAGGGCGGCCGCAGCTGCAGCTCTGACTGGGATCCTGGTTCCCACTGTGAACTCTGAGTTCAGGACCAGACCAGAGGACAGCACTCAGCGCTTCCAAAAACCTCCACCGTGAATCAGTTCCTCACACTGGATGTTTACCATCCAACAACAAATCAAACATGTCCGAAACAGACTGAATCCACCATCTAAGGACTTGTTTTATTTTCTGATTTCCAGGTAAACCGATTTCCTCAGAAGTTTTTCTTTCCGTCTGAATCTAAACGAAGCAGCAGAATAAACCAACAGAACGGATCCGATTCCTCTCAGGTATTCATGGCTGTCAGTCAGAGGCGGCATTCTGCTTCCTTTCCTCTTCACCCTTCGGACTTCACCTAGAGAACACAGCTGCCATCTCCAGAAGTTCTCTGATGACTCAGCAACTGTAGGCCGTGTTTCTTAGGGCAACGAGCTGGAAGTATCGATCGGTCATCATGAACAGAGCACTTCGCTCTCAATCTGCAGGTTTACTAGTGGTTCCTAGAATTTCTAAAAGTAGAATGGGAGGCAGATCTTTT